TCAGAATCCCCTTCCCCTCCCCCATTTCTGAAGAAGGGTATAGACCCAAAACGTCAGCTTTCCTGCTCCTCTGATGCTGCTTGGCCTGCTGCGTTCATCCAGCTCTACATCTTGTTGTCTCAGATTCTCCAGCATTGGAGGCAGTTAGAAAGAGATTCACTAGGATAGAGGGTTGACACCTCAAAAGCAGCTATGTAAGTTAAGCCTTTATTCATTAAAGTTAAGAAGAATAAGGGCTGGTCTTACTGAAACATACAAAATTCTGACAGTGCTTAAGAGGGTAAATGTTGAGAAGATACTTCCATTAACAGAGGAATCTCAAACTAGGGGAGAGTGTTACAGGACAAGGGGGCACGTATGGAAAACTAAAATGTGAAGGGATTTCTCCGCAAAGGTAGAAAATGTTTGGAATTCTCTACCCCAGAAAGTGGAGGCCAGATCAATGAATGATGGGGTAGATTAGAGAGGCTGGGTAGCCTACTCCTGGTTCTCTCTCTTCTATTCATGTATTCAGGTGATGCAATTTTATATTAACTATTTCCAGATATCATAACTGACTGAGATACGTTACCTACATATTTAGTGGAAAAAGTGCACGCAATATACTTATATGGAATATATCTAATTGAAAAATATCCCCGTAAAAAGTAATCGAATACCTTGAAAATGGAACTCTTCAAGTCTGTTTTAAAATATAAATTAAAAGCAAGCGTTTTATTCTGTACGTAAATACAAATACCTAAATTATGAGGAAAAAGTAACATTTCCTTCGAACAGATACTAAATTATACGGGACAGTAACAATGGTTCACTTCTTAACATTACAGACTTCCAAACTCATGACCTATAAAACACCCGGTCAAGAGCCTAATAATGCAAGAATGAGATGAATATAATATTCCCGTTATCAAGCTTTAATAAAAGTTATAAAAATACGGATTTCCAGTATTAGTTTTAAATACGAGTCAAAGACACGAGCGATTACTCTCGGAAGAGCAAAAGTATTCATTAAAACATGATTGAATGGGTTTAAGTGATCAATGAGCATATTTTATTTAAAAAAACCGAGCTGGTACCCGCCTGGATCAGAGTGTGAAACCTTTTCTGAACCGGAAAAAGCGGGCAAAGTGAGTAGGTTTGAGCAGGACCTGGGCCGCCGGCGGGACACGGTTAGCCGAGTGCCCCGCTCTCACTCACCTATCCAGCGGCTGCGCCGAAACCGCCGTCAGATCCGCACCGCCCGACATTTTCCAGCAATCCGACCCACCCCCCCTTCAACTGCCTTCGCTCGTTTGTTTCAGGAGGTTCATGTAAAGGCTTGAGCTAGGCCTCGCTCTGCGGCCTAAACCAGACGGCGATCGAACGAAGAGAGAGACCCGCTGTGGGCGAGCAAACCTGGAAGCTGGACCGAGGGGATCGCGGCGGCAGGATGAGTGCTCTGTAGCCGTAGGGGCGAACACCCATTAAACTTCTGGTTTTGGGTCTTCCGTGTGTGAAGATACGCCGATCTTTATGGGATGCTTTTTGTTGTGTGTATTGAGGGTGGGGGTGGAGTAGCTTGAAGAGAAAACGTGTATTTGTTTCAAAACACAATTGACCACTTCCGAGCTGCGGCCTCCATTTACTGTGAGGTAATAATAACGTTGAACCCAACCGGAAGTGCGCTCACCGCCGCGCACACTGCGGACACCGGCGGGCCCCGCGGAGCCCGCTGGGAGATGTAGTTCCATTCCCACGGTCAAGACCGGCGGCGGCAGCGCAGGCGCACCACAGCCGGGAACTGCATTGTCCGCCATGCACCGCTGCGCAGCGTTCACCTGTGCACGCGCACGAATGGAATCCCACAGGCTGCTTTGGCTGGGTCTGTGGCTGCTGGGGTAAAGCGTTTGGAAGTTTGCATTGCGCACCAGGAAAGGGACTGGCACTTTCATTCCCCACCCCCTTCCCTCCCCGCAAACTATTTCAGAGGTTCACACCAAGGTAATAACTGTTTTCGGTAATCCGGAGACGATTGGGAACCTATCAGAAGAAGGCTGTGAGATCCAAGATTAAATACTGCAGAGTGAAACCTCCTTGAATTCTAAGTAAATAGAACCGAATGTTAGCTAGAGAGCAAGATATTAACATTTGGTTCGTTTCCCACTATGCGAACAGAACAAAGCAATCATGTTATTAGCGTACTATTAAAAATATGTTTCTTGTGACCTTGACCATTGCAAGGGCCCAAATTGACCTCTTCATTATAAATCAATGGCGAATAACAGCTTGTCAAACGGGTAAATAAAGGAGGATGCTATCATCGATTCATGTATTTAACATTTTTTATGTTTCATTTATTTAGATTGGTTGGTTGGCTGAAGTTAATATTTTACTTGTAAAGTTGACGGTTTTGTTTTTCCTATTTTAGCTGGAATGTTGGACAATGTATTTAGATAAGTGCATTGTTTGAAAGTGTGTTTTGAAATGTACGCCCTTCAGAGAAACCATTTCTTTGCTTTTCGGGTACGGTGCTCGACATAAATATATGCGAATAATATTCTTTATTGGTGAGCGGTTGCTTATCTTGTTTGTTTTTATTTGATTCTCAATGTTGCCATATAAAACGAACCTGACAGCACATGACAGGAATGTTGATACGAGCTGACAATGACCTTGAGGGTCTGGATTTGGTGATAAAATTAATTGCGTTGTTAAAAATGCACGTGCAAAGTTAACCTGCGTACATTTCACTTTGGTCTGCTTGCCTGTCAGATTAAAGACGCGAGTCGAATTCGTTACGTGTGGATCGTAATGATTTACAGTATTGTAGATGCCACTTTTGTGACTGTCTTTTCTAAATTTGTCTGCAAAAAATGGAATTATGTGTTGTCCAATCGTCATTTGGCCATTTGCAATAACATGCAAAGCAAGGAGCCATTTTATGAAATAAGCCATTAGTTGTGTGGATGAATGGCGTAAACATACTGCATGGTAAAACAGCAATATACAGGAGCTTTCGGGATATTTTTAAGATGTCATTGCGTTAGGCAATCGAAACATTGTTCGGGTCAACAAAATTGCAGACGCGAAAAAAAGACAAGGTCACAAGTTACGTGTCAAATATGGTTCTGCCTCGATAAGGGTGTTTCGACGCTCCTCTTGTATTAAAATCGTGTTTTCGAAGCATCGCCTAATTATATTTTAACATGAAGATAATTTCATGCAAATCAGGTTCTTGTTTACTTAAATTAAGCAGGTTGCTGATTGTTCATGCCTCCCTCCTCCCCTCCACTGGGTTCGAGACTCAATAAAATGCAGTATGGTGCCAGATCTGTAACCCCAGATATTTGTTTTATTTAAATCGACAATGCTGTATTGGCAAAAAATACACCTCCTGCAGGTCGCGTGATTGTAAATGTAATATTGGATCTTGGAAATAACGTTTTTAAAATTTAAAATGTATTTTAACCTTCTGAAGGACGCTGCACTATTTATTGACGTATGCAAATTAGCACAGAGCTTTGAAAGCTCTTGAACAGGAACAAGAATCAGTTTCACATTGCGGGTGAGAGCTGAAGTTCCGGTGTAAAGAAAGACGTGGCGAAATTAGTGAATATCTGTGCCCGCATCCCAAATCTCTCATTCTGAGGGGGAACCAGAACACGAAAGGGTGAAGCTGCTACTCATTTTTTTTTTCTAAAAAAAAAGAGAAGCATTTAATATTGCCTGGTTCACTCCCCCACCCCCATCGCTCTGCTTAAATGGGCGATTACACATTTGCTTTACAGTCACCTAGCAATGATACAGGATTTTCGCCAGCGGTGAAGTACCAGAGCACAGCTAATAACGCGCCTTTGTTTTTTCCTGTTTTAGCTCCGCAAACCATGCAGGATGATTTACTGATGGACAAAAGCAACCCCCAGCAGCTTTCACCAAGGTCAGAGCAAAGCACCGAAGCCGCAGAAACCCCCAAGTCAGAAGACAGCTCCGTGAGTATAAACGCCCCGGTTTCTGCCCAGAATAAAGAGAAGGCGCAGATGGAATCGCCAATTTTGCCCGGCTTGAGCTTTCAACCCCAGGAGCCAGGTACCTCCCTGTCTCCTTCGTTCAGTACGTGGTCGACGGGCAGCACCAACACGGCGGATGATAGCTTTTTCCAGGGTATCCCGGCCGTCAACGGGACGATGCTGTTCCAAAATTTCACTCACGTCAACCCGGTTTTCGGTGGTACTTTCTCGCCCCAGATCGGCCTGGCACAGCAGACGCAGCACCACCAAGCCCAGCAACAGCAGCAACAACAACAACAACAGCGGAGGTCGCCCGTCAGCCCGCAGGCTCCTTTCGCCCAGCGTAGCGCCTACAACCACCAGCCCATCATGACCAGCAAGCCGTCCTCGGCTTGGAACAACCATCAGAACACCACCTGGAGCACGGCCCCCAACCCCTGGAGCGGGCTGCAAGCCAGGGACCCCCGGCGAGCTGTTGGGGTGCCTTCCCCCCTCAACCCTATCTCTCCACTCAAGAAACCCTTCTCCAGCAATGTCATCGCCCCTCCGAAATTCCCTCGAACTGCACCCACACTAACCCCCAAGTCGTGGATGGATGACAATGCCTTTCGGACAGACAACAGCAACGGCATGTTGCAATTTCAGGTACAGTATACCGACCTTGAAAATTTCATTTCGACCAAATGTACAAAAGACGCAGTAGGACATGACCTTCACAGTCACATTGCATGTGCCATCTTTAATGGGACATGACATTGCAGAGAAAACATCACATCTGTTATTTTCAGCTAGGCAGTGACACTGTTCAGCCTAAGTACATCCTCAGTAGGTGAGAATACTAGATTGTGTCCTTCTTACTCTGCAACAGACCAACCCCTCTCCCCTTCCCAGAAAGGACTAGTAACAGTGGCCCCTGCTGATCTCAATGCCAGTTTAATTTTGACAGCGTCTTCATTGAAACAAAAAATTATACAAGTACAATATTAAAATTAGGCTTTTTCATGTCCTTTCTTTGTTGGCAGTATTCAACTGCCTTTGTATTCTTTTAAAAAAAAAAATAAACAGCCGGCAGACCGTCTATATTTTAGAACAATTAACTATCGACAAGACTGTCAAGCTTCATAGCCAGTGAAGAGTAGAATTATTGAAGAATTTGTGAAAGAGTTTTTGCCTAAATTGTTAAATTTAGCACTATTGGGATAACTTGCCCTTCATCTTTTAAGGCCGCTTTGTTTGGGCAATTGTTTTGACGTCAAACACAGAGGTGGAGCAACATACTGTCATCATTACTATTTCAACTGCTTGAAAGCAGAAATGTACAGTCATTTCTGTGGTACGCCAGTCATGTATTGACTGTAAATATTTGCAGGATAGAATGAGAACATATTCAGCATACACCAAGGTTTTAAAACCTCTGAAGATGATGGCTTGGTTTTATTTTGCCTATTTTGTATTGAAACTGCACATTATTATGCTGTTCTCCCTATGTATATATCAATTTTCAGCTTCCTATTTTAACTTCTTGAAAGTCCCAGTTAAAATGGGTCAAAATCCTTTGGTGATTCTCCATCAAAGTAATTATTTATAACCAACCTTTAATGGTAAATTGGTGAGGGATTGACAACCTTCACCATTGTGCGGACCCTGAACAACGAAGTCAGATTCTGCATTGCATGCATTTGTTAATGGATATTGCAGCAATTCAAGTGGCCCCAGGGACAAGATGTTATATGGATGTACCTAAATAATCATCCTAAATAAAATCAACAATTACTACTTGGATTACCTTTCTCTTGTTAGTAAGATGTAATCTATTGTCAAAGCACAATCTTCATTTCTGCATGCAGACATTTGTTCCGTCACTTAGGATTTTACTGGTTTGACTGTAAATGTTCACTTTTATAATTACATTTGACATGATTATTATGCTCAAAAATCAGTTTGCAAATTCTAGAAATGAAAGGTTTAATAATGTTCTATTTTGTGATAGAAGCCATGAAATAATACCGATAACAGTTCATGTGGTTTTGTGGTGATGGGTTTTATATTGTATGAGACCTAGAAAATGTAACTCGATCAGTGTGTCACCTTTGCTATATTCAATGTTAGGATAACGTGAAATGCAAGTCATGGTTGCATTTTTCGCTGAGAATCACACATCAGTAAGTAGTATGTGTTCTCGTACGAAGCCAGTTCTCAGTGATGTGAAATGGTGGTTGAGGAAATGGAGACCATGTATCATTGTTACAATTGAGTGGAAGTTTACCGCTTGCTGTTCAATTTTTGGAACTAAATGCTATGCAGGGTAATGCATTCTCCAATTAAAAGTCTATGTATTCTGATACATACGTGTTCAAACACATTCATCGTGTGTAAAATTAAGATTGTCAGACAGCCTTTAGGTACATGTTCAATTATTTAAGTATATTTGCATATCTAAACAAGTTAGTTGTATTATTTTGTAATGCAATGAATGTAGAATTAACCTAAATGGGCTTCTTTAATCTGTTACAAAATATTATTCTACTGAATAGGCTAATTCAGGGATTTAGTGCCAAAATGTTCCTCTTATAATTAGACCTGAGTGGAAAATTTTAATGAGGCATGTTTTGTATAATATCCTGAACCTGCTGGCCACGTAATTTCTGGTAGGCTTGGTATTTTATTGGCCTAATCCCAGACTTGTTTTACAAATGCAGCCATTGCATATCCTTGATACATCTGATAAGCTGAAGAAAAACTCCCCTTTCTTACCAATCAGAAAAAGGATGTAGATAGTTAATAATGTAATATGAAGTAGTGATGTTTGTGGACCACCAAAAAAATCCAAGTTTTTCCACATTCCAAAGGAGAAACTGAGAAGTTATGAATGTCATTTGGGTAAAAGATTGGGATGGCAAGGATTTACATTTTGTGTGTGAATGCCAAATGGGATTGCCCTGCCAGTTGAATATAAAGGTTTTTAATATACATGGTGATGGTGGAGCCGGCCACCAGATTTGAAAATTTGCTCCGCAAAGCCACCTACTGACCATGTCCTGTAACAACAGGTGGCAGCATCGTTGAATGTGAATTGTTGACATAGTAATTTACAATAGGAGAAAAAGAAGATAGAATGGTAATTATAGGAAGCAAAATTTGGCAGTAGAAAACACGTACCCCACAAGTAAGTTCAGGAATGTAACCTTCTGTTTTTGTCATCCAGGCAAATTATATGAATGCATGATCTGCTCGTTCCCTTTTGTTCATAGTTATCCTGAAGATTTGTTAAATGAAGAATGTTAAGTAGTATTATTGGGTGCATTAAGAGGATTGAACTGTGTCCTGGGATCTGTAAGCAATGGGGAAGAGATTGTGTAGTACTGGGTATGGGTCTCGGATAGCTATATTTTGATGTCAGTTCCAGAGTAGGTTGATCCATGGTTAAATATCCATATTTGGGATAACTGGCAGTAGAAGAAAGTGGATAGTGGTATCTAGCATGACTGAAGGAGCAGTGGAGACTCCTGCAATTGATCTCGACCACAATGTTCCCATGTTCGGTTGTTTTTTGTTTCAGAATCAGTCTTTCTGCCTTTAGCTGTACCCCACTAATGCAAGCTTATCTTCCTATGAGGTGTACTAACATGTTTTCTGATGAGTACATTGTACGTCTGTATGTTACTTAATTTAATATTTAAAATACAATAAAACAGCATGTAATTAAAAATAAACTGAACTTTTCCTGGGAAAAGACAAGATAATTTCAGTCATCTCCTACGCAGGAGTCTACACAGGAACTATGCTCCTCAATACAATTTTATGGCTTTGCTTTCAATCATGAAATCCTGCCCTGAACACACGTCTTACTCCTCCCAATTCTTTATTTTCCATTCCTACTCATGTTTTCCATTGCTCAGCCCCTTCCTATCACTGCTCGCAGTAAGATGAACCCCTCGTAATCCCAGTTGATTGTAGGCTTTTTCCTTCAAGGTAGTAGATGTTTTGGGTGCAGGAGCTGCTCTTGAAGCTTTGGCTTTCACTGCAGCCCATTTTGTAGAGGTTGCATGTTGCAGTCGTGCTGTGCTGGAGATGGAGGAGAACATTTTAAGCTGGTAGATGGGGTTCTAATCAAGAAGGTTGCTTTGCCTTCGATTATGTTGAATTTCTTGGATTGTTGAAGCTGAGCTCGTTAGGGCAATTCCTGCTGTACTTTATAGATCATGGAATAGTTCTGAGGTTGGAAGGTGAGTTATTTGCCACAGGATTCCCAGCCTCTGACTTATGTTAGACTGATGGTACTTGTATGGATGATCCAGTTATGGTCCCAATCAATGGTGACAACCCATTCCGAAAGTTTTGATGATAAGGGATTTGGGAAGGCTCAGACAGTTGAATGTCAAGGGGAAATGTTCAGACTTTGTTACTGGTGATGGTCGATGCCTGGTACTTGTGTCACAAGTTATCTTTCACAAGGTCAGGCTTGTATGTTGCCTCAGTCTTAAGCAGGCAAGTAGGATCTGCCTCCTTAGAGTGGAGAGCTCACTGACAAAGCAGCTGAAGATGGCTAGGCCTAGGTCACTGCTACTGGACTTTGTGAAGACAATGTCCAAAGGTTGAGATGATTGTCTTCCTTTGCTGCAATGGGGTCTCGGCCTAGGTGGTTCTCGTGGAACTGAAACTGACCAACCTTGAGTAGTCATTGATGCGGGTGCCATTTGGCACGCTTGACAACTCATTCCATTACTTTAATCGACAGTCAACTGAACCAGTGATTGTCCAGATCAGATTTGGCCTGCATTTTGTGAACAGGAAGTACTGGACAATTTTCTGACTTTTGTGGGGAGATACGTATGGTATGATTGTACTAAAACAATTTAGCTGGACATGTGGAAAGTTGTGGGGAAGAGAATCCTCCCTATAGTTGGGATGTTTTTGGCATCATCACTTTTGCTCAGTTCAGCGAGCTTAACCATTTCCGAATGTACCGCACAGTTTTGAGGAGCATTTGTGGGAGCCTTGGCAGGAAGCCAAGCTGGGTTGTTCGTATGGCTCTCCCGGCTGAAGATATTTGCAAATGCTTGAGATTTGATAATTTGAGATGTGGATATTCATGGCACTGCCACCTCATCTTAGTTGTTTATTTTTCCATCACATTTGCATCTGGGTGAGCAGGGCTGCAGACATTTGGCCAAATCTGTGCATTCCTTTAGCTCCATCTTAACTGCTTCAATTCTGCATTCTTGGCATCCCATGTTGTAGCCTTCTCAGGTTGGCAGCTCATTTTTAGGCATCTCTGCTATTCCTCCTGCATGCTCTTCCACAGGTTTGGTCCCTAGTTTGATGGTACAGTGAGGGACATGCTGGATCTTGTGTTCAAGTTCATTTCTGCTGCTGGTAATTGTTTTTGTGGATGCCAAATTTCACACTGTTAGATCCAGTTTGTTCCAAAATATCTTGCGTTTTGCATGGTAGTGCTGTAAAACACAATGGAGATGTTCTGATTGGGAGGATGGGCCTTTGTCTCCATAACGATTGAGAGGTGGACATTCCTACAAGTACTATTTGGACAGATGCATCCTCAACAGGTAACGTTGAGATGAAGGCAAGGTCAAATAAGTTTATTCCTCATTGTTTCTTACCACATGCCACAATCTCAGTCTGGCAATCATCTCCTTCAGTACTTGACAAGTAAGTCAGTGATGTTATTCAGCAACAATGCAAAATTATTTTAGCCATTGGGTTGCCAATATATTTTTTCAGAAAGCAATTATTTAGCTTTCAGATCTCTGCATCCACATGTTCTATTTTGATTTGACCTATTCATGATCTATTTTCATGGAGTGTTGGGGAAGATAATGAAATTACGATTCGTTTTGTACAGACTCTGGTTTCAATCATTTTGGTTGATATGATTTCAATTTCTGACATACTGACTTATAATATTATGTCTAATTGTAGACTTGAGTAAATTGATCAGAGCCCGTCCCCACCCTAAAATAGTAGTCATGGTAACAATGACAAGCGAGAAGTTATTACTTCGTAAACAGAACCAGTGATTAGAACTTTGGGAGCATTGAAGGGACATTGTGCCTTTTCAGATCATTGGCTTATAAAATGTGTGTTATAATGACAACTGTCGGATGTTTATATCAAGATGACAAATAACCTGGAAGGGTTAGTAAAAATTCTTTCACAGCAAATTGTCTCAACTTTTAGATAGTGACATTTACTTCATAAAAATGGCATAGCATCAGTAATTTTCTGTAACCTGATTCTGCCAGTTTAGGACGCGATTGGCATTTATACTTGAGGTGCTTTATATTTTAGTATTAATTACACATAGATAGTTATCAACTTGTTTGGAAACTACTTCTTAAATTGGCCTTCTAATAAATTTGAAAACATTGTAGGTCCTTTTTTTGTTTTAAAGTTCTGTTGAAAACTGTTGTGTTGCTATGTGTTCCTGTGCGTTATGTACAGGAAAAGTGTTCAGTGATTAAAACCGTGAGCTTGTCCGTTTTTGTTGCTATTTTTAACAGCTTGAGTTTTTATTGAATCTGATATTGAGTGCTTGGGCATCTTGGACATTCATGCTAGACTTGATTTTGGAATTACAGTTGTGGTTGTTGGGGGTCAGTCAACTCTGCTCAGAGACATGACTGCAGGAGTTCCTCAGGGTAATGTTCAAGGCCCAACTATCTTCAATTGCTTTGTCAATAATATTGTCTCCACTATAAGGACAGAAGTGGGAATGTTCACTGAATTATGTTCAGTACTAATTGCATCTCCTTAGATACTAAAGCAGTCCATGTCCAGGTCTTGCTGCATTTGGATGATATCCAGGCTTTGGCTGAAAAGTGGCAAGTAACATACATGCCACACATACGTCAGTTAATGACTATCTCCACCATGAGAGCATCTCGCTATTTCATCTTGACATTCAAAGGCACAGCCACCACTGAATTTCCCAGTTTCAACATCCTGGGGGTTACCATTGACCAGAAACTAATCACATAAAGTGACTACAAGAGAAGGCAAGGAATCCTGCAGTGACTTGCCACTCTGACTTCCCAAAGTCTGCCCATCATCTACAAGGCAAAAGTCAGGAGTTTAGTACATTGTGTTTGTTTGGATAAATGTAGCTCCAGTGACCCTAGAGTTTAACTGTATCCCAGGACAAAACAGTCCACTTAATTGATTGATTGGCACTTAAATATTCACCCCACCACTGACACATAGCAACCAGATTGTGTACCACCGAAATGATGCACTGCAGAAATCCACCAAGACTCCTGAGGCAATACCTTCCAAACCCATGACCATTTCCATGTAGAAGAACAAGGGCAGCAGATACATGGAACACCACCAGCTATAAGTTCCTCTCCAAGTAATTCAACATCCTGATGTAGAAATATATCATTCTTCCTTCAGTGCTGGGCCAAATTACAGAAACTCCCTCCCTAACAGCATTGTTGAAAGCAAACAAACTGCACTCGTTCAAGAAGGCAGCTCACATCTTCTCAAGGGCAACTAGGGATGGGCAATAAATAGCCTAGCCAACAACACCCACATCAAAACTCATGCTACCACTGTTGCACCTATTTGCATTTTCTATCATATGTAGAAAAAGCTTTAGGTTCACAACTTGATGAAAATAATGTGGGGGAAATGACTGGATGTTAAAGAAACATTATAATTTCATAAATTCTTGCCTATAACATGGTTCATGTAATCCAATTTTTTTTGGAATTCTGTCCAAACATTTCACCCTTTTTCTACATCTTATCCATGTCCCCAACTATATATCTTTCAAAATCTGAGGTTTGGGTTTTGCTCTTTGCATGGAGTCTGCTTGCCTCCTTTCTTGATGTTTCCAGCTCTTAATGCATGAAAATCTGTTTGTATGTGTATATTGTAATATTATAAGTGGTTGGTGCAGCTAACTGGCCTGTGTGTTCAAAATAGACTTGGCTACAATATTTTTAAATGGATCGTATCATTTGCTAGAAATAGGAGAGCGGTTTTGAATAAGGTTTTTCTGATGCCCCACGGATCTATCCTTGGCTGCATCTGTCCTATTTATCATCAACATGCTGCCCTTTTGGCGACGTCATTCAAAAAAGGTAACATTAGTTTCCCCATGCGTGCTGATGATACCCAGCACTGCTTCATCATCACCTCTTTCTAGATAGTCAGATTGCTTCACTAGATCAGCAGAAGTTTGCTCCAATTTGGTGTTGGGCTCACCACTATTGTCTTTGTCTTTGGTTCCTGCCACAAACTCAGCTCTCTAATCATTGGCTCCATTCCTCACCTGGCAACTCTGAGGTTGAACGTGCACTCATCTAATTTAGTTTGTGATGCACTGTGGGATGTTTTATTACAATGAAGATGGTATATGTATATAAGCTGCTATGGCTGATGTTGTTATCTTTGTACATTTATAAATGTGTGGATTCCATCTTGAATCCTACGAATATAATTTTTGTTTGAGCTATCACCTCAAAGGTTGAATATATGTTGGTTGTCGAGATTTTAGACGAGAAATATCTTCAATGCTTTTAAAACAAAACTGATTTTCAATGGATTTAAGGGATGGAGCGGATGTTTTGTTAATCTGCCCTGGGAGGCTGAGTTTTACAAGGGAGAGATGATGTCAGCTGATGGCCAGGTTTGCTGTCAATTTATAAAATCTTACAGATGATTTTTAATAAATTTACGTACCTTATTTCCGGTTGAAGGTTTCAAAATGGAAAAGGCTAGATGAGGCAAACAGACAATCAGATTTGCAAATGATTTTGTTTGCTTGCTTGTTATTGTGAGCTACAACCCTTTTCATTTCTGAAATATTGGTTTGCATAACTCGTTTGTTAATTAGCAGTGACAAAATATTTACGTTAAGTATGACATTTTTAAAAAAAATGACACTTCACCTCTTACTGCATTTCATGATGGGTATGGTGGAGCAGGCTGCCTTCATCAGAGAGGGTATGCAATGTGATAGGCTAAACTGCTGATTTGCATTAAATGCATATGCCATTCTGTTCATGGGGGTGGTGGTATTCTGGAAACTTAATATTTTAGGAATTAAATTCCGTAAATCCTTTCACAGAAAATTGTCCAATCAGTAATTTCATGATAAATCAGTGATTTATATTTATGTATTTGATTTTCATTTCTTTAAAGTCTGAGAACAAGTCTGGTGTTAAGTGCCATATTGGAGGTAGGCACCTAGTGTTTAGCAGATCTGTGCATGCAAGCGAACAAGGAATTAAACATACTTGTCGGTGTGAGTAGGGAACAGTAGAAATCCTACACTTGTGTGGCACTAGAGTAACCCTGCCATTTGATGCAAGATTTTAAAAAAAAAAAATTCCTCTGCTGTAGTGGGATCTTGGCATTTGGTAGAAGATGGGCATCTGACTGGTTGCATTGAAGTTTGTAGTACCAACTTGGGATTTGGCAGAAGGTAGGTAGTGATTGCTGAGAACTTGCTGAGGTCTGGCAGCAATTTGGGACAGCCTAGCCCAGTGGTTCAGCTTTGTGAACGTAAGAGGTCTCTCTGAAGGTATAAATTAATCTTTATTTATACTTTTTTCCTAGGATCACTGTGGAAATTCCACCTTTGGCTGCTGTCTCTTTGGAATGGTATATAAACACACCAATTCAATCAAATTGAATTTAAAAAGATCAGAATTATAAGATAGGTGTGCGTGAGTGTGTCACTTTGTTTTGAATAAGTTTTTTGCATTTTAATTTTCAATTAGCAAATGTCTTTCAGCACTCTTGTTGCATTTTTTTTTTGCGAAGTGGCTTTCTCCTTGAATGCCTAATGGTATAGTTGGTTAGAAACAGTTTCCAAGATTTATCTTGCAAACGTATTATGTTGGTTAAAAGCCCCCGTGTGCTTTTTTGAATAAAAAAACATATGATAAACTGGCTTTCAAGCGATTATTTTTATGCAGGTTAATTTCAGTTTTCACACTTACATGGTGTTTTTTTTTTTTTTTTGCAACTGCAATAGTTATTGGGTTTACAACAGCAAATTCCCTGTTCATGGCTTGGCTTGTTGTCTGTCATAAATTTCAAGTAGTTTCCTCAGAAAACGTAATTTCATGGTAAATAGAAAGTTAACTTGACATTAAATGGGATCAGCACGCATGGAAAGTGATAGGGTATATGGATTGCAGCCAGGACAATCAATGCGCCCAGCACTTCAGTCTGCATGCCCATTCCCTGAATATTGTTTCATCGAGGCCTTCATCAGAAACCATGCAGCAGAGCTGATTTGCAGTCTCACTTTTGTTTGAAGTGTTAGATCTAGTTTTAAGTACTTTTCATTGATGCTGTCTTGCTTTAAACTCCTTGTCCTGAGCTGGACAAGAAGCAGTTCTTGGGAGTGCCAGGTTGGCATGAGAGAAGCAGTGTGAGGTGGAGAACAAGAGGTCTGTGGCTATACTGTCTGCAGCGGGCTAAGCATGTACTGGGAGTTTAGAAGGGGCATGAGCAAAAAGGATTCTTTCTTCAATCTTCTCAGCAATGTTGGATCCCAGAGGCTTAGTCACAGCTGGTTTTATCAAGCAGAGAGCTAGATTCCCCACTGGACTAGGGAGATGCATTTGTCTGTGACCCCTCAACTAAAGTTGTGTTCCACCTTGTGTTGCAAGAGAAATGGAAGTAAGTCAATAATTTTGTGACATGTTTGGTAATGTGTCTACAGTAGCTGGAATTAAGTGGAGGCAGCAAAATATGTGTGAAGCTAGGATCATTGGTAAGTGTGTGTTGTGAGTGCAAGAGATTGGTATTCCATCAATGGGGATGTGGTGTATTGAACAGCATGGGAGGATGGCTGGGTCAAAATTCTCGTGTCGCCATCTTTTCTATTGTCAATCACCTTAACTCTGTCTCCTCGTTTCTCACCCTTCCTCCAATGGGAGCTGTTTCTCTCTGTACCTCACTTGTTTAGGACCCTCATCACCTTGAACACTGCTATCAAATTGCCTCTAAATCTTTGTCTTCTCCATGGCAAACAGCCCCAAGCTTCTCCAACCTGTCCATGTAACTGAAGTCTTCATCCCCAGAAATGTCTGGTTTCTGTAGCCTTTCTAATACCTGCAAACAAAATTCTACCATGGAATTTACCTCCTCTACTCCCCCCACCCCCATCTCTATAATAAACAGACAAAAGCACACCAGAAGAGAAATTGTCTCGTTGAATTTGACCAACTCTTAGCCAGAGACAATAAACTTAATTCATTATCAGGTAAAAGAAGTAAATGAATAGCTAAATTTTTTTTGGTTGCTATTTGTTTTTGTACTGCAGTGCCTGAGAGAGGAACAATCTGACAAAAAAATTGCATCTTCTGCATTTTGCTTTTTCTGTTTTAGTTCATTGTACAGAGCTTCAAGTTGTTTCTCATTCAGAAAAACAAATAGTTTTATATAGGAAAAAAATGTTAAGCTGAACACTCTTGAAAACCACTTCATAGTTAGGAAGGTTGCACAAGAAAAGCAGATTAACTAAGCCCCAATCTTTGTCATGAGTCTGGGCCAAATTAACTGCATAATTCAACTATACTCGCAGCACAAAATGAAGGAAAGTCCACCCAAGTTCCCCTTTTGTGATCAGTATGGACATAGGTTTGCTCAAAATCAGCCTAATACTGAATCTAGTCACATGCTGTGTGTGTCTGATCACTTTTTCATTTGGTTCAAACCTACCCTCAGGCTGTTCAGCTGGTGTATTTTTCCAAGAATAAACCCCCACCATCCCATAACTCTTCACTGATGAAACTGGTGCACTATTGCACTCTGAAGCTCAGTTTACTGTGGGGTCCTGAAACTCACTTTCCAGCCTTCTTACTTCAGGACACATCTACCCCTTCATCAATTTGATTTTCATGTTCATTATAGTGTGCAGGCGATAGCAAATAGCTGCACAGTTGTGCACTTATACAGGCGATGTGGAAGGTGACCTGTGATTGGAGGAGCTGGAGCTGCAGCATGGAAGAGAGAGAGAGAATCTGTGATTGGTGGAGCAGCACTTCACTAATTTTGTCTCCTCCACTCACTGCTGTTCCAATCAAAACAGGCTGGTGTGACCTGACTCTCTTTTTTGCCCCATTGAGTTATTGGGGGCTATTTGTGAGGTTTCCAGGGCAAATTAACCCATTTCTCTGCATTTTTTGCGTGGAGTTTTCTGGAGTGGCAGGTAAGAGTTGTCATGTTATAATATATTCATTTATTCTGAGGGCTGTCCACCCCCAAGTCAAACAGTGACATCTCACCTCCACCTCCAGGATGACATCCCTGAATCTGAAGCACTGGTGTTCCTTTTTGTTTCTGTTGGAATACTATTGTTGGCAATGAAGGCCCTTCTATTATTAGTATCTGTTCGAGGATTCGTGTCTTGTGGGTTGCAAAGATTGATTCAGTTGAAGTGCTAAGGAGATAACGAGACTTGTTTTTCTTTATAAAAGATTACAAAGCACTCTGGGACACTTTTTTTTTAAAAAAGCATGTCTCAAGCTAATTGCTTAGATTTGCTGGAAGTGACAGCTGAGTTTACAGCTGTCAGGAGTGTGGTTATTTGATATTATTTCCGAGTTTGGTTGTAGTGTAACCTGTGAAGAGCGAAGACCCCTCAGTTCCACCTGTGCCACCTTTATTGAAACACTATTGAGGATTCCATGTGAGCAAAAATATCAAAACAGCTATTCTCCCTGAAATGCTTCCGGAAGACTTTCTCTATGCTTCAAGTGTGAAGAGATGTTCAGAACTGTGTCTGAAGAGATCCCAGAGGGACAACTGCCTGTATCTAGTAACCATCTACATGTATTAGGATGCCAGACTAAAAGCATCTGGAATATTTCCTGTCTTATCCTTTTATTTTCCAAGAATGAACAACTATCTTGGCCAGTGTTTATTCCAAACATTAATCTCTGCTGAGGAAAATTACCTTGTTTAGTTTTTTCCTTTAATGTATGTCTGTAGGGGTTATTTCAAAAGGTAAATATTTATATGTTTATACATTCAAACTCTGTATTGCTCTGATTTTATAATTTTGTTGAAATAAGTCTGCTCTTATAATAGATCATAATTTTGTTGACTAAAACATGGTTGATGGATCATTTTATTCTAAACCTGCTCTGGATCAAGTATATAATTGGCCATACTGGTAACTGGGTAAAACATTTTAAATATATTGTGACCAATGGAGTAGTATCCTTTCAATCTCTGTCATTATACAATATGCTTGTAAACTGCAGCCATCTCGAATTCAGTTCTGTGTCCCTCTGTTTAAGAGGGACAGCCTATAGAGAACAGCAAGCCCGATTTTTGGTTTGATCATTGGATATTTGTCATAGGGAGAAAGGTAATGGAGGGCAATTTTTATAACTGATGTTGCAATTCTCAATTCCTTTCTTGAATTCTAGAATTGGGTTAAAATTTCACCCCCAACTTGACTATATAACATAGGCTGATAGAATACAGTGATAGTAGGAACTGCAGATGCTGGAGAATCCGAGACAACAAGGTGCAGAGCTGGATGAACACAGCAGGCCAAGCG